TTCCCGCCCACCCTTATTATTTGTTTGTATTGATTGACAGGAGAGCAGCAGGTGCGTCACCACCATATGGAGCCAGTTCAAACCGGAATACGTGGGCGGGAAGTCCCTATACCCTTTCAACCGCAGCACCAATGTGTTATTACAAGATTGGGGGTATAGGGACTTCTCGTCCACCTGGGCGAGAAGTCCCTATACCCTTTCAACCGCAGTCCCAATGTGTTATTACAAGATTGGGGGTATAGGGACTTCTCGTCCACCTGGGCGGGAAGTCCCTATACCCTTTCAACCGTAGTCCCAATGTGTTATTACTAGAATGGGGGTATAGAGACTTCCCGCCCACCCTCATCATTTGTTTGTATTGATTGACAGGCGAGCAGCAGGTGCGTCACCACCATATGGAGCCAGTTCAAACCGGAATACGTGGGCGGGAAGTCCCTATACCCTTTCAACCGCAGCACCAATGTGTTATTACAAGATTGGGGGTATAGGGACTTCTCGTCCACCTGGGCGAGAAGTCCCTATACCCTTTCAACCGCAGTCCCAATGTGTTATTACAAGATTGGGGGTATAGGGACTTCCCGCCCACCCTCATCATTTGTTTGTATTGATTGACAGGAGAGCAGCAGGTGCGTCACCACCATATGGAGCCAGTTCAAACCGGAATACGTGGGCGGAAAGTCCCTATACCCTTTCAACCGCAGCACCAATGTGTTATTACAAGATTGGGGGTATAGGGACTTCTCGTCCACCTGGGCGAGAAGTCCCTATACCCTTTCAACCGCAGTCCCAATGTGTTGTTACAAGATTGGGGGTATAGGGACTTCTCGTCCACCTGGGCGAGAAGTCCCTATACCCTTTCAACCGCAGCACCAATGTGTTGTTACAAGATTGGGGGTATAGAGACTTCTCGCCCACAAGGTAGTTAACATCTCACCACGGAAAGAGAGAGAGACGCAGACTCCAAATAGAAAGCAGCAGCAGCAGTAAATCGTCAGGGTGTGGGATCGAACCCACGACCTCCTGCGTACCAGGCGAGGTAGCTAACATCTTTGGTTCTATTCGGTAAAGTCACGTAGGCAATTCAGATTGACAAACACGGACACGAGTTCAACCGAGAGGATGGTTTCAGACTAAGCAATCGTTGGAAAGATGTTCTAAATCAAACCAAAACATTAAAACGAAATTTTCCAATAGTACCAGTAATATTTTTTTTCAAGTAGTGGCATCCCAAACTTTCACAGCTGCTTATTTTCCCCTTCACACCACCCCCTCTTACGATTTAAAGCTTTCGTGACTGCAATCAATGATTCATCTTCTTTGGTTCTTTCGGTAAAGTCACCACGTAGAATGAGAATAAAATAATAAATTGATAAAATAAAATGTACACAATAATATTCTCACGACGTTTCGGCCACAACACAAGCGCGGCCTTCATCAGGTGAAGGGACGAGACTGTCTGGTAGGACAGCGCTGGAGTGAAAAAAGCCACGCTCAGATCACGAACTTTAAGCTGTCAGAAGAAACAAAGCGCCTTGACAAAGGAATTAGCATATAATTTAGCATTGAAATGGCTGAGTGATTAGCTTGTGACTGGTCACAGAAATAGTTATGTTAAAAGTTAAAGTATACACATCCGCAGAGGCACCCCTTGACAAAGGAATTAGCATAGAATTTAGCATTGAAATAGCTAAGTTAAAGCATACACATCTGCAGAGGCACCCCTTGACAAAGGAATTAGCATAGAATGTAGCATTTGTACTAAGTGCCTCGGTGAATGTGTATGCTCTGACTTTAACGTAGCTATTTCTGTGACCAGTTACAAGCTAATCACTCAGCTATTTCAATGCTAAATTCTATGCTAATTCCTTTGTCAAGGGGTGCCTCTGCGGATGTGTATGCTTTAACTTAGCTATTTCAATGCTAAATTCTATGCTAATTCCTTTATCAAGGGGTGCCTCTGCGGATGTGTATACTTTAACTTTTAACATAGCTATTTCTGTGACCAGTCACAAGCTAATCACTCGGCCATTTCAATGCTAAATTCTATGCTAATTCCTTTGTCAAGGCGCTTTGTTTCCTCTCACACAGCTTAAAGGTCGTGATCTGAACGTGGCTCTTTCACTCCAGCGCTGTCCTACCAGACAGTCTCGTCCCTTCACCTGATGAAGGCCGCGCTTGTGTTGTGGCCGAAACGTCGTGAGAATATTATTGTGTTATTTTATTTTATCAATTTATTATTTTATTCTCATTCTACGTGGTGACTTTACCGAAAGAACCAAAGAAAATGGGTTTTCTGTTTACCTCCCACACAGCTTAAAGGACGCGACCTGGCCTTGGCTGTTTTCACTCCAACGCTGTCCTCTGGACAGTCCGGTCCCTTCACCTGATGACGGCCACTTGTGCTGTGGCCGAAACGTCGTGATTTGTTGTTGTTTTATTTTTGTATTCACCCACGCGACTGTACCAACTAGAACCAAAGGAGTATGGATCCTTGCAAGTCACGAAAGCTTCAAATCTAGAATAGTGAACATCTCTTAAAGCTACACTGTGAGCCAGCCATGTTAAGGTGAGGGGGGTCACCAAAATAGGGGTGGTGGAGCACAGTGTCCCTTTAAGACGACTCTCACTATCTTAACAAAGAATCGGCACGTGTCCCTTTAAGACGACAAACTCTCTTAAACACTGCATACGGCTCCTTATCACCAAGTTATAGACGTACAAAGTACCACACACACACAGACAAAGCTGCCCCTTGTAGCCTCTAGCTGGGCTGTAGGGGCAAGTGCTCATTATTGTATATACACACTCAGAGATACAGCTACCCCAAGTAGCCTCTAGCAGGGCTGTAGGGGCAAGTGCTGGCTATTGTACACACTCAAGAGACACAGCTCCCCCAGGTAGCCTCTAGCAGGGCTGTAGGGGCAAGTGCTGGCTATTGTACAAAGATCCCCCGTGTAGCCTGTAACAGACTGTAGGGGAAAGTGCTGTTAGCGAGCAGCGCCTATGAAGTGTCACACACACAGACACACCCACCCACCCATTCACTCACACTGACTCACTCACCCACCCACCCATTCACTCACCCATTCACTCACTCACCCACCCATTCACTCACCCATTCACTCACCCACCCACCCATTCACTCACACTGACTCACCCACCCACCCATTCACTCACCCATTCACTCACTCACCCACCCATTCACTCACCCATTCACTCACTCACCCACCCATTCACTCACGCACTCACCCATTCACTCACCCACCCACCCATTCACTCACACTGACTCACTCACCCACCCACCCATTCACTCAGCCATTCACTCACTCACCCACCCACCCATTCACTCACGCACTCACCCATTCACTCACCCACCGACCCATTCACTCACACAATGACTCACGCACCCACCCATTCACTCACACACTGACTCACTCACTCACCCACCCACCCATTCACTCACACACCCACCCACTCACTCATCCATTCACTCACCCACCCACCCATTCACTCACACACTGACTCACTCACCCACCCATTCACTCACAGATTCACCCATTCACTCACCCACCCATTCACTCACCCATTCATTCACCCACCCACCCATCCACTCACTCATCCATTCACTCACTCACCCACTCACTCACTCAGCCACCCACCCATTCACTCACACACTGACTCACTCACCCACCCACCCATTCATTTACACACTGACTGACTCACTCACCCACCCATTCACTCACACACTGACTTACTCGCCCAGCCATTCACTCACTCACCCATTCACTCACTCACCCATCCACTCACTCACCCATCCACTCACTCACTCACCCTCCCACCCATTCACTCACACACTGACTGACTCACCCACCCACCCATTCACTCACACACTGACTCACTCACCCACCCACCCATTCATTTACACACTGACTGACTCACTCACCCACCCATTCACTCACACACTGACTCACTCACCCAGCCATTCACTCACTCACCCATTCACTCACTCACCCATCCACTCACTCACCCACCCACCCATTCACTCACACACTGACTCACTCACCCACCCATTCACTCACTCACCCATTAACTCACTCACCCATTCACTCACTCACCCATTCACTCACTCACTCACCCATTCACTCACACACTCACCCATTCACTCACTCACCCATTAATTCACTTACTCACCACACACAAGAGAAAGCTCCCCCAGGTAGCCTCTAAAGGTGCGTGTGTGGGTGTGTGTGTATTTATGTGGGTGTGGCTGTGTGTGTATGTATGGCTGTGTGTGTGGTGTGTATGTATGTGGGTGTGGCTGTGTGGGTGTGGCTGTGTGTGTGTGGCTGTGTGTGTGTGGCTGTGTGTGTGTGTGGCTGTGTGTGTGTGTGGCTGTGTGTGTGTGTGGCTGTGTGTGTGTGTGGCTGTGTGTGTGTGTGGCTGTGTGTGTGTGTGGCTGTGTGTGTGTGTGGCTGTGTGTGTGTGTGTGGCTGTGTGTGTGTATGTATGGCTGTGTGTGTGTGGTTGTGTGTGTGTATGTATGTGGGTGTGGCTGTGTGTGTGGTTGTGTTTATGGCTGTGTGTGTGGCTGTGTGTGTGGTTGTGTGTGTATGTATGTGGGTGTGGCTGTGTGGTGTGTGTGGTTGTGTGTGGCTGTGTGCGTGGTGTGTGTGTGGTTGTGTGGCTGTGTGTGTATGGTTGTGTGTGGCTGTGTGTGTGGTTGTGTGTGGCTGTGTATGTGTGTGTGGTGTGTGTGGCTGTGTGTATGTGGGTGTGGCTGTGTGTGTGTGTATGTGGGTGTGGCTGTGTGTGTGTGTGTGTGGATGTGTGTGTGGCTGTGTGTGTGTGTGGCTGTGTGTGTGTGTGGCTGTGTGTGTGTGGCTGTGTGTGTGTGTGGCTATGGTTGTGTGTGGCTGTGTGTGTGTGGCTGTGTGTGTGTGTGGCTATGGTTGTGTGTGGCTGTGTGCGTGTGTTGCTGAGCGCGTGATGGGATTACTCACGGCACGGCGACCCAGAGACCCACGTAGAGAGACACAGAGAGAGAGAGAGACACAGAGAGAGAGAGACACACAGAGGGCAGATAGACACACACCGAGGGTAGAGAAAGACACACACGGAGCACGCAGAGAGAGAGACGCAGAGAGACACGTGGCACACACAGAGAGAGAGACACACACGGAGGTCAGAGAGACACACAGAGAGACACACAGAGAGACACACGTGGCACACAGAGAGAGACACAGAGAGAGAGACACACAGACACACACACGGAGCACACGGAGACACAAACCGATGGCAGAGAGACCCGGAAGCAAACCATGCCGCTGCGGCTTAAAGGGCGTTGCCTGAGGATGACACGGTGCAAAGATTGGCTGAGCCACACTGAGGCTCACTGAGGCTCACTCCCATAGGGTTCAGTGTTAATCGCTGAGGCTCACAGAGCCAGACTAAGGCTCACTCCCACAGGGTTCAGTGTTAATCACTGAGGCTCACAGAGCCAGACTAAGGCTCACTCCCACAGGGTTCAGTGTTAATCGCTGAGGCTCACAGAGCCAGACTAAGGCTCACTCCCATAGGGTTCAGTGTTAATCGGTGAGGCTCACAGAGCCAGACTAAGGCTCACTCCCATAGGGTTCAGTGTTAATCGCTGAGGCTCACAGAGCCAGACTAAGGCTCACTCCCACAGGGTTCAGTGTTAATCACTGATGCTCACAGAGCCAGACTAAGGCTCACTCCCACAGGGTTCAGTGTTAATCGCTGAGGCTCACAGAGCCAGACTAAGGCTCACTCCCATAGGGTTCAGTGTTAATCACTGAGGCTCACAGAGCCAGACTAAGGCTCACTCCCATAGGGTTCAGTGTTAATCACTGAGGCTCACAGAGCCAGACTAAGGCTCACTCCCATAGGGTTCAGTGTTAATCACTGATGCTCACAGAGCCAGACTAAGGCTCACTCCCATAGGGTTCAGTGTTAATCGGTGAGGCTCACAGAGCCAGACTAAGGCTCACTCCCATAGGGTTCAGTGTTAATCACTGAGGCTCACAGAGCCAGACTAAGGCTCACTCCCATAGGGTTCAGTGTTAATCACTGAGGCTCACATAGCCAGACTAAGGCTCACTCCCATAGGGTTCAGTGTTAATCACTGAGGCTCACAGAGCCAGACTAAGGCTCACTCCCATAGGGTTCAGTGTTAATCACTGAGGCTCACAGAGCCCGACTAAGGCTCCCACAGGGTTCGGTGTTAATCGCTGAGGCTCACAGAGCCAGACTAAGGCTCCCACAGGGTTCAGTGTTAATCACTGAGACTCACAGAGCCAGACTAAGGCTCCCATAGGGTTCAGTGTTAATCACTGAGGCTCACAGAGCCAGACTGTGGCTCCCATAGGGTTCAGTGTTAATCACTGAGACTCACAGAGCCAGACTAAGGCTCCCACAGGGTTCAGTGTTGAATCACTGAGGCTCACAGAGCCAGACTAAGGCTCCCATAGGGTTCAGTGTTAATCACTGAGACTCACAGAGCCAGACTAAGGCTCCCATAGGGTTCAGTGTTAATCTCTGAGGCTCACAGAGCCAGACTAAGGCTCCCATAGGGTTCAGTGTTAATCTCTGAGGCTCACAGAGCCAGACTGAGACTCCCATAGGGTTCAGTGTTAATCTCTGAGGCTCATAGAGCCAGACTAAGGCTCCCATAGGGTTCAGTGCAAATGAATGAGGCTCACAGAGCCAGACTAAAGCTCCCCCATATTGCTTTAGACTTAGGGGCAATTGTGGTTAGCGAGCGCCTATGAACGCCGGATCTGAGGCACTCACAAAGGGGGTGGGTGGCCAGCACCACGCCCGGCTGCCTTTGTATCCCCTAGTGCCACTCACACACACACACGCACGCATTCATTCATTCGCTCACACATTCACTCATTCACCCAACCACCCACCCACACGTTCACTCACTCACTCACCCATTCACTCATTCACCCACTCACCAATTCATTTACTCACTCACCCACCCATTCACTCATTCACCAATTCACACATTCATTTACTCACTCACCCATTCACTCATTCACCCATTCACCCATTCATTTACTCACTCACCAATTCACTCACCCACCCACCCATTCACTGGATGAGTGAGTGGGTGAGTGAGTGAATGGGTGAGTGGGTGAGTGAATGGGTGAGTGAGTGAATGTGTGGATGAGTGAGTGAGTGAATGGGTGAGTGGGTGAGTGAATGGGTGAGTGAGTGAATGTGTGGATGAGTGAGTGGGTGGATGAGTGAGTGGGTGAGTGGGTGGGTGGGTGAGTGAATGGGTGGGTGAGTGAATGGGTGGGTGGGTGAGTGAGTGAATGGGTGGGTGAGTGAGTGAATGGGTGGGTGAATGAGTGAGTGGGTGAGTGAGTGAATGGGTGGGTGGGTGAATGAATGGGTGGGTGAGTGTGTGTGTCTGTGTGTGTGTGTCTGTGTGTGTGTGTGACACTGGGGGAGAGACAAAGGCGGCCGGGCGTGTGAGTAGTCCTGGCCACCCACCCCCTCTGTGTGTGTCCACAGTGGCGACCTTCAAAGACGCTGCTACTCGCTGCTTTTGACAGCACTTGCCCCTACAGCACTGCTAGAGGCTACCCGGGGGAGCTTTGTCTGTGTGCCTATAGGCGCTGCTGCTACTCACAGCACTTGCCCCTACAGCACTTCTAGAGGCTACCTGGGGGAGCTTTGTCTGGAAATTTGCATAAACCGAAGTCAGTCGAGCAAGCACGAGACCACGACTCCATTGTTATGGACCAGGAGAGGTTTTATTATTAACACAGCAGTAGGCTGGGTGAGTGAGTGAGTGGGTGAGTGAGTGAATGGGTGAGTGAGTGAGTGGGTGAGTGACTGTATGAGTGAGTGGGTGGGTGAGTGGGTGGGTGAGTGGGTGGGTGAGTGAGTGGGTGAGTGGGTGAGTGAGTGAGTGGGTGGGTGAGTGAGTAAGTGGGTGAGTGAGTGGGTGGGTGAGTGGGTGAGTGGGTGAGTGAGTGGGTGAGTGAGTGAGTGGGTGAGTGGGTGAGTGAGTGAGTGGTTGAGTGAGTGAGTGGGTGAGTGGGTGAGTGAGTGAGTGAGTGGGTGAGTGAGTGAGTGAGTGGGTGAGTGAGTGGGTGAGTGAGTGGGTGGATGAGTGAGTGAGTGGGTGGGTGAGTGAGTGAGTGGGTGAGTGTGTGAGTGGGTGTGTGAGTGGGTGGGTGAGTGAGTGAGTGGGTGAGTGTGTGAGTGAGTGAGTGGGTGAGTGAGTGAGTGGGTGAGTGGGTGAGTGAGTCGGTGGGTGAGTGACTGTGTGAGTGAGTGGGTGGGTGAGTGAGTGTGTGAGTGGGTGTGTGAGTGGGTGGGTGAGTGAGTAGGTGAGTGTGTGAGTGAGTGAGTGGGTGAGTGACTGTATGAGTGAGTGGGTGGGTGAGTGGGTGGGTGAGTGAGTGGGTGAGTGGGTGAGTGAGTGAGTGGGTGGGTGAGTGAGTGGGTGAGTGTGTGAGTGGGTGTGTGAGTGGGTGGGTGAGTGAGTGAGTGGGTGAGTGTGTGAGTGGGTGTGTGAGTGGGTGGGTGAGTGAGTGGGTGAGTGAGTGAGTGGGTGAGTGGGTGAGTGGGTGAGTGAGAGGGTGAGTGAGTGAGTGGGTGAGTGAGTAAGTGAGTGGGTGAGTGTGTGAGTGGGTGTGTGAGTGGGTGGGTGAGTGAGTGAGTGGGTGATTGTGTGAGTGGGTGTGTGAGTGGGTGGGTGAGTGAGTGGGTGAGTGTGTGAGTGAGTGAGTGGGTGAGTGACTGTGTGAGTGAGTGGGTGGGTGAGTGAGTGGTGAGTGGGTGAGTGAGTGAGTGAGTGGGTGAGTGACTGTGTGAGTGAGTGAGTGGGTGAGTGGGTGGGTGAGTGAGTGGGTGAGTGGGTGAGTGAGTGAGTGAGTGGGTGGGTGAGTGAGTAAGTGGGTGAGTGAGTGGGTGGGTGAGTGGGTGAGTGGGTGAGTGAGTGGGTGAGTGAGTGAGTGGGTGAGTGGGTGAATGAGTGAGTGGTTGAGTGAGTGAGTGGGTGAGTGGGTGAGTGAGTGAGTGAGTGGGTGAGTGAGTGAGTGAGTGGTGAGTGAGTGGGTGAGTGAGTGGGTGGATGAGTGAGTGAGTGGGTGGGTGAGTGGGTGAGTGAGTGAGTGGGTGAGTGAGTAAGTTGGTGGGTGAGTGAGTGAGTGGGTGAGTGGGTGAGTGAGTGAGTGAGTGGGTGAGTGAGTGAGTGGGTGGGTGGGTGAGTGCGTGGGTAGGTGAGTGGGTGGGTAGGTGAGTGAGTGGGTGAGTGAGTGGGTGGGTGAGTAAGTGAGTGGGTGAATGAGTGAGTGAGTGGGTGAGCGGGTGAGTGAGTGAGTGGGTGAGTGGGTGAGTGAGTGAGTGTGTGAGTGTGTGTGTGAGTGGGTGAGTGGGTGGGTGAGTGGGTGAGTGAGTGGGTGAGTGAGTGGGTGAGTGGGTGAGTGGGTGAGTGAGTGGGTGGGTGGGTGAGTGAGTGAGTGGGTGAGTGAGTGAGTGGGTGAGTGAGTGAGTGGGTGAGCGGGTGAGTGAGTGAGTGGGTGAGTGAGTGAGTGTGTGAGTGTGTGTGTGAGTGGGTGAGTGGGCGGGTGAGTGGGTGAGGGAGTGGGTGAGTGAGTGGGTGAGTGGGTGAGTGGGTGAGTGAGTGGGTGGGTGGGTGAGTGAGTGGGTGGGTGGGTGCGTGGGTGGGTAGGTGAGTGGGTGGGTAGGTGAGTGGGTGGGTGGGTAGGTGAGTGGGTGGTGGGTGAGTGAGTGGGTGGGTGAGTGAGTGGGTGGGTGGGTGAGTGGGTGGGTGAGTGAGTGAGTGTGTGGGTGGCTGAGTGAGTGGTTGGGTGAGTGGGTGAGCGGGTGGGTGAGTGAGTGAGTGGGTGGGTGGGTGGGTGAGTGGGTGGGTGGGTGAGTGAGTGAGTGAGTGGGTGGTTGGGTGGGTGAGCGAGTGAGTGGGTGGGTGAGTGGGTGAGTGGGTGAGTGAGTGAGTGAGTGGGTGAGTGGGTGGGTGAGTGGGTGAGTGGGTGGGTGAGTGAGTGAGTGAG